TTTGATTCAATAGCTCTGATACCATATAAAAATTCAACCAGGAAATTTTTATACTTAAGATACAAAAGAGCAAAGACTAAAACTTTAAGTATCTTAAAAACTTGCGGAAGCTGAAACAAAAGCTTAAAGATCGCTTGATATTATACAAAGATTTCTTTGAGAAGAGGTGTGTTCTCAACTCTTACAAACATAGCTATTTATAATACAAAGAAAAGGGGATTATTGAGGGGATCAGCCAACCTCAATTATTTCCCACAACCAACACACTTAGCCGACAAAGAAGAGCAGTCGACACCATTATTGAAGATGAAAAGCAAATAGTGACAGGTTATTTGCTTCCCACCGCACACGTACGAAAATAAGAAATAATTCATATTAGTGGAGGGGTCCATTATTTGGCTGCTTCTGATTATTGGCAAGACTTTTATTACATGCGGGACCTTCGTGCGCCACGTATTTCTGATCGTGGGGTCTTAACCCAATTGACGCTGAAGTCATCCCACCCGTCATCCTCTAGAAGAATGCTTTGCTGAGAACATTCTTCTCCATCGGAGTCAACCCAGTAATCCACTTGGATTCGTGGGTCAATTGGTTGTTGTTTGTCATTGGGCCTATACATTGTTTCGGCCCAGTCGCTGGCATAAGGCTTCAAGTTCGATGAGAATTCTTCGGGCTTCTCGATTTTGCATTCGAACATCTTCTTTGTGGTCTCCCCAGTGGTTGTCCTTTCCTGAATTTCCGAGGCATACTTGGGCTTTGCATTGAAGTATGGCCTGGAGTTTTCGCATGGACTTAACTGCATCACTTGCTGCTGCGATTTCAATGTCTTGTGCAACGGACCTCCATGAACTGGATTCTGATAACTCGACTGCATTTTGATTGGATCGAGTCTAGTAATATCGGTATAAGGCTGCTGGGTCTTCAAAAGAGTAGATAGTCCTTGTGAAGATTCTTGGTAAAGGTCTGAAATCTTCTTGATTTCTTCTGAGATTTTCTTCATATTCTTCAGAGAGATATCTTGGGACTGGAAGGTGGCTTCCTGGAAAGTTGCTTCGGCCGAGCTGAAAGCGGCTTGAGTCAGATTCTTCATTCCTTCTGTGCATTCCCCTGCAAAACAAAGGTTAACTAATCTTGAGAGTGAGTCGGCTAGCAGATTCTGCTTTCCATCTATATGCTCAAAGTGGATTTTAACTCCAGTGCCTGTAACAGCATCTTCAAATTTCATCCACCTAACCCTTGATGACTTGTTGCTATTGGTTTTATTATGAAAGCTTATGATAGCTTGGCAGTTAGTTCTGAGGGTTATTTCTTTTTTATCAAGATAATAAATCTTGAGCTTCTCAAGAGTGTTAATGCAGGCATTGATTTCTGCATCAATTGTGGACTGATTGGTGTTGAATTTGCCACTTGCATATGCACAGACCTTCTCCATGCTCCGAAGGTCATCCTTCTTCTTCCACTTCACAACTCCTCCCCATCCTTCCATGCATCCATCAGTTTCCAAGATTATGTATGCGTCGTCTGGAGGAATATCAAGATCAGGCAAGTTCTGTACTTGGGCCTTAATCTGTTTTATCAAACCATAATCTGATGCCTTGAGTCTCTTATCACCATGGGCATTGGTTTTCTCATACAGGGGTCATAAGAGAATTCCAAGCTTTGGAATGTGTCCTCTGGCATAATTGAGTATACCAAGGAAAGATCGTAGTCCCTTTTTAGTTCTCATCTCTTCTTCATCAAAGTTGACAATTTTCTTGATGATATGCTGTTGAAGTTTCAAAGTTCCATTTCCTATTACAACTCCAAGGAAATCTATCTATGGGACTGCAATTTTCATCTTTGTAGGTGACAAGACCAACCCATTGTCTTCACAGATTTGCAGTGTTTTCTTCAGATGTTCTACGTGTTCTTTTTCATAACTTTCTTTCTATTTGTTCTATGGCTTGATCCTTGATCATTTGTTGAACCTGCAACGTCTTTTCCTGCAATTGTTCCCTCAAAAGTTTGGAACCTGCATCACTGCCACCTGTTGAGCTTTCTTCTACCTTTAACTGTTGCGATTTCTTAACAGTCATAGTTTTGCCCAAATAGTTGTGTGCACATAGTGCACATGCCGTGAAATGGCACTTTGGACAATGAAGTCTGGACATGTCTGTTGTGAGGATGCCACAATAATAGCACAAGGTGTAATTAGTGACCTTGTTTTCCTCCCAATTGTGTTGAACATCAATCGACCCAAAGACAGGAGCTGAGATCAAAGGGAAAGAACGAATGGTCTTCAACTACAGAACGTTGAATGACAATACATACACGTTAAACAAAATAACTTATCAATAAGATCATCCCTTTCATGCTTTCCCTAGAGGCAATTGAAGCTACTGAGGAGTTAGAAGGATCAGCCGTTGGATTCACCGAAACAATGTATAGGCCCAATGACAAACAACAACCAATTGACCCACGAATCCAAGTGGATTACTGGGTTGACTCCGATGGAGAAGAATGTTCTCAGCAAAGCATTCTTCTAGAGGATGACGGGTGGGATGACTTTAGCGTCAATTGGGTTGGTTCAAGACTTCTCTCTTGGTTAAGATCCTTATAGAGGATCCACCCACGAACAAGACCAGATGTCTCTCTGAAGAATATGAAGAAAATCTCAGAAGAAATCAAGAAGATTTCAGATAGCTTCCTTTGATTCAGAAACTAGAGCCAGAGGTCCACCCAGAGAGACCTTGTTTTTCTGTACCTCTTTCTCTTGTGCTTGCAGAGTTCCATAGACATCGTGCAACGTCCATTGCTCCAAATCTTGATTTGCTTGGAGGGACATAGAAAGATTTGCCCATTCTTCATTTAATCTTTTTAAGAACAACATGTTGTTCTCTTTCTGGGTTCTAATAACATCACATTTTCTACATTTATTGATCAATGTGTTGAAGCTGTGATAAGTCTGTTCTAAAGACTCATCAGGAAGATCTTGGAAACTGTTGTACTTATTTAGGCATTGAGCACCGCGGTTCTTTCTCATTTTGATCCCTCCTTCAAGTTGGTTAGCAAGTTGATCCCATAGATCCTTTGCAGAATCACATGCATCAAAGGACCGGGAGAATTCGTTGGGTAGAATCATGATGAATAGCCTTTTGGCTTTTTGGTCAATTTCTACCCTTCGCCTGTCTTTATCATCCCAGTCCTTTCTCTCCTTAGGAGCACGAATGGATGGAATTTCTGCAGTAGTAGGCGTAGCAGATATTCTAGGTATAATGGTCATGGGTACGTATGGTTCATTTTTAATGGATTCATATAACTCAAGGTTCGAGATCTTCATAAGAATTAATCATCCGAATCTTCCATTAAGGGTATTCATTCTTTCATAAATGGGTATTTCCATGGGTTTGCCTTGGTATCGTGTTCATACCGTTGTATTGAATGATCCCAGACGATTGCTTTCTGTTCATATAATGCATACAGCTTTGGTTGTTGGTTGGGCCAGTTCAATGGCCCTGTATGAATTAGCAGTTTTTGATCCTTTTGACCCTGTTCTTGATCCAATATGGAGACAGGGTATGTTCGTTATACCCTTCATGACTCGTTTAGGAATAACCAATTCATAGGGCGGTTGGAGTATCACGGGGGAGACTATAACGAATCCGGGTATTTGGAGTTACGAAGGTGTGGCTGGAGCGCATATTGTGTTTTCTGGGTTGTGCTTTTTGGCAGCTATCTGGCATTGGGKGTATTGGGATTTAGAAATATTTTGTGATGAACGTACAGGAAAACCTTCTTTGGATTTGCCCAAGATCTTTGGAATACATTTATTTCTTGCAGGTGTGGCTTGCTTTGGTTTTGGTGCATTTCATGTAACAGGCTTGTATGGCCCTACCGTACTCCAGCTTGGTAGTTTCCACCGCCTGTCCAGAGTTGAGCCCTGGGATTTGACGGCGGACTTAAAAAGCCACCTACAGACGCTTTACGCCCAATCATTCCGGATAACGCTTGCATCCTCTGTATTACCGCGGGTGCTGGCACAGAGTTAGCCGATGCTTATTGCTTCTTCTCCGGGAAAAGAAGTTTACAACCCGTGGGCCTTCTACCTCCACGTGGCATTGCTCCGTCAGGCTTTCGCCCATTGCGGAAAATTCCCCACTGCTGCCTCGCGTAGGAGTCTGGGCCGTGTCTCAGTCCCAGTGTGGTTGATCATCCTCTCGGACCAGCTACTGATCATCGCCTTGGTAAGCTATTACCTCACCAACTAGCTAATCAGACGCGGGCGCTTTGTAAGGAATCCAACACTATACATTGAATTTCAAGTTTGATTGGACATTGTTCAATAAAGTGATAAGAAGACGAACTTGAAGTTTTGAAGATGAGCAACGAGCTCTGTATGCGAGGAACACCACTGTGTCCGAGCAATCTCTGCATCCGAGCTCTTGTTCCAGGCTGCTTTCTAGACTAAATCCTCTTGACTAGAGCAAGAGGCTTTTTACTTACACTTTTGGAATACAAGTCTAACAAAACGACTTCTTGTACATGCACTACATGCTTTGAGATTTAACAATCTAAAGGTCATAGCATGTTGATAGGCATAAGTAGCAAATATGTTAGCACAAGACAATAAATTTGTTGCTGGGTATAGAACAAGTAAATTGGTGGGCCATATTGTGTTCATTAGAGGACCCACTTGTGTTAAAATAAAGAACCTTTCTGGTAGCTGTAGAAACATGAAATGATAGGCACATGGTACTGATTATTGATACATTTTCCCTAGAAAAACAACTGTAGAAAGTGTGATTCCGTTACTTTCTTTGTTTCCCTTTTCATTGATTTATTTATTTACCGATATTTGTTACATATTTCTAAGAATTTAGAGGTAGTGGGTTTGATCAGGCTGTAAACCCATGACCTTATGTCCTTATCTTACAGTTGAACTGATGGAAGGGTATATCTGAGGTTTTTCTTATTTGACAAAATATCTTATCACTTGTTTATCTTCATCAATATTCATGCAGTGCTCTATGTGATGGAGGGACTGTAGAAATTGTAGGTCCAATTGCATCCAGTGTTGAAGATATCATACTGGTGTAAGTAACTTGTACATTTTAAAGTCTCTCTACATCTTGTTCAGCCCCTAACATAGGATATGTGGATGCTATTTGCTGCTATATTCCGATATGAAATACTCTGTTACTATCTACCATAAATTACTTTACACATGCAACATCATCTGGCTGCATAACAATATTAAGTGTGCATGGTATTTCTGTTTTGGCTTTTGATGTGCCTGTTTACTAATCATGTTACCTCTATGTCTTACTAGTATTATTTAATCTAGGGGTTGCAAATGGGGCACATTTGGTTGGATTAGATAACGAGTGAAAACAAGTAAATGGGGAGTTGAATGTTGATTCTTTTGAAACCAGTCAAAAGGGTTGCAGGCCAAACGTGATGACCCCAACACTGTTTTTTACCGACTTGTATTTTATTGTAACACTAATTTTGACAGGAACACATTTATAGAATAACAACAATCAAATTCGAAATAAAATATTTTAACAAGCATGTCAAGGTCTTGAATATTTTCATAACTTATAGTTGAGATTTAAAGCATTGTAAATAATTGGATATGGACGTCAATATAATTCCTTACATCAACTTCATTTTTTTATTTTTCTTCCTAATGTAAATTATGTTTTTGCAGGAGTACTACGAAAACTTTAATGATATATTTTGTTGTAAAAGAATATTTATTTTATTATAATGTTAAATAAACTACATAAATGAATCAAAATATATAAACAACTCATGAGGCGTAATTTGGTCATTTTATCTGTTCTATCTTGTCCAGTTATGTCTTACCAAATGCTGAACAATTTTTTCTGTCTTATCCTGTGTTCTATCTGGATACCAAATGCATAAATGAACAATTTAATTTAGCTTCTTTCACATGTGATATATACCTAACTACACAGCCTAGACTACTATTTTTTTGGATGTAAACCAAATACTTCAGAAATGGAAACTAAAATACAATAAACATCAACGGGAGTACAAACTCATATAGCATATTCCTGGGAGATATTATAGTCATCACAACCTTAAAATAGTTGGTATTCGTAGCAAAACTAATTTCTAGAGGCCTTGTAGGGTTTAAAACAAGTGACGGTTTGCCACCTCATTCCCGTGGAACTTAACTTGCACGATGATGACTGGCCATATAATTGCTAAAAAAAATTGTGTAAGCTTTATTGTATTCTTTCTATTTGCTACCTTAATGCCACGTACTATTTTTCTTAGGATTGAACCATTCCATTTGCTCCTCTCTAGCTATCATATACAATAATTCTATCAAGTACTTTTAAGTCGCAGGGTCAGTGGCTCATAAAAACTCCTCTTTATCATTTGTATTTCTTCTTGCTTTTCCACCATACTTGAGGTTGATGTGGTGTACAGTGGACCCTTCACTATTTGTGTTCTCTGTTCTATAAAACAGGTGTGACTCATAAGAGGCACGAAATATTACACAGAGCGGAGTATTGTTCTGCTTCTAGTTTTATCTCTGCTACAGGAGAAGTAGGTGATTCTTTTCTAAATGAGTCAAGATAATGTGTAATTCAAACAGAAGTGATATTGTTAACCATTACTTTTTTTTTTTTTTTGCACCATCTTTGTCTGCATGATAGTGAATTATGCATGCACTGAGCTTTGTTAAACCAACAATTAGGAGTTATCATCTATTCTCAGTCTCAGAGAAAAGAGTCTTGCTTATTTTTTTTCTGATGGTACGTTTATTATGGTGAAGTGTACGATATCCTATAAACTTTTAATTCTGCTTCAAACATCTTCCATCATGATTTTAATTATTTAACTTTGAAAAGAAGGCCAACTAATTGATATGGGGCTGAATTATGTTATTGTTTTGCTCAGCTATGCAGCAATCTTAGGATCTTCTCCTGCTGACAAAATCAGTCTGCGGCCGGTAACCAGATCACTATTAAATACTCCTGATATTTTTTCTTGATCTTCTAGCATTTTTTATCTATGTTACAAGGCCCAAGAGAAAATGCCATGCATTATTGGATGATGGAAGTTTTTATATTTGATATTTTCTACTTATACTTAAAGCTCAAGGGCATATTTTAAAAGAAAAATGAGAAGTGAAGTTCACCAAGTTTATTTATTTGTTCTTTCTGGCTCCATAAAAATGGCACTGATAACCTCAGTTATGTATCTTCGTCTTCTTTATCAATTTAATTGTAAATGTCCATGACTGTAGCAGACAAGCTTGTGCTGCTGCTTCTTAAATATCAGTAACATACCTTCTCTGCCAATTTATTTGTTTTTTCTGCAGTCCGTTCCTTGTTTGCCTGATCTATCATCACAAGAGAATTCCAGTGTTGTGGGAACATTGCGATTAGGGAAGTACACTGAGGTGGTCCCTCTCTACTTTTGGGTTTTCTATGCACAGCATGAATGTCTCTTTGGACATTAGTACTCACTTCATGTCTGTCTGGCAGTGGTTTAATGATGTATTCTCACCTGATATCTCAAATAAATGCGAAGATGTTCTTACTATGTTGTCAGAAACTCATGGGTGCAATGTAAGTATGTTTTTACGTATATGAATGTTGTATGTCATAATACTTGAAATGTAACTCATGTATCCTGTAATCTGCCTTTCACATAGGTCATAATACTTGAAATGGTCACATCAGTTAGTTTGTATCTATTACAAATAATTCAGTAAAATTCTCCAGAAAATGAAGTATCTTGCACACTCGTATTCATGCATTTGTTTAATTCTTTCAACGTTTGTTTTTCAAGGTAGTAGAGATTGTCATACCGGAGCTTGACCAGATGCGCACATCCCATGTTGTATCAATTGGTTCTGAAGCAGCAGCCTCATTAAGTCCCGACTTTCAGGATGGGTATGCCTATTTGGAGCTTTTAGGGGTTCTATTATATAAGTTCCAGTGGTATATTCTATGTTTAGTATGATTGGCCTATTGGATTGCTATCCCCTTTCTAATAGAACAATTTTACATTACTTTGTACTATTTATTACTTATACTTGGTTCCTTCTATCTTATATAGGAAAGTTAATAAACTTACATTGGATTCGCGCATTAATTTTGCACTTTTCAACTCATTCACAGCTTCAGATTATGTTGCTGCCCAACGTCTAAGGTGAGGCTAATTTATCAACCATCTCTTAAATCGTTGTCTCTAAAAATGGCTTTACAGCCATCATGCCTATCTAACCTAAATGCCCACTATGCATTTTGACTGTTACGGTTAAACACTCTCTCTGCCCTGAAGAAAGAGTCCACTTTAAAACAGTTTATTTATCACAAGGAGTTCTATTTCAGAATTCAACACCAAGACAAATTTATGTTTGTAGATTTTTCTTCTTTTATAACAATGGATAGAATCAATTTTTTAATGCAAAATCTTCATCCAATGTACACCTCCCCGTCAATCTTAAAAAGGGCAGAAGCTGAAACTCAGACTTGATTTTTGCCCTGGCTGAGTGGCTTTGTATCAGCTCCTATATATGTCTCATTAGTGCTGGTTGTGGATCGAAAAACACTACTGATAAATATTTCTGTAGGGAGATAGCTTCTTCCTCGAGCATCTTTTGGCACAACAAATTCTTTTTTGTTTCATAATCTTTGAGTCCTTTAACATCACCATACCCGAATTGCCCAGGTTTCTAAATGTAAGTTCGATGAAATCAAATGTATGCATATTCAGATCTCAATGGCTTCTTTACACTTTATAAGAGAACCCTAGTCTAACTCTATAGCGTAAAAATAGGGACTATAAGCTAACAACTTATCAGATAGTCGTAATCCTATTATTTACATATTTTCAACATCCCCCTCTCAAGTCGGTGCATAGATATCATACATGCCCAACTTAGTTGTGAGAACTTCAAAAGTTGGCCGGGATAATCCCTTTGTCAAAATATTTGCAATCTGATCTTTTGTAGGGACAAATGGTACATATATAGCTCCAGATTTTGTGTTCTCTTTTATAAAAACGTCTGTCAACTTTCGATCATGTTGTAACAGATTGTTTGCAATACATATAGCAGCTTTGTTATCACATAATAACTTCATAGGTAGCTTGTTTCAAACTTCAGTTCTTTAAGTACTCGCTTTTTCCATAGTAGCTCACATATTCCGTTTGTTATTGATTGAAATTCCGCCTCTACACTACTCCCTGAAAATACATTTGCTTCTTACTTCTCCATGCCACTAAATATCCTCATCAGAGCTCGCCCCATCCTAATGAGCTCGGTCAGCATTTTTCCTTTCCAATCATGATGATGTGTTAATCAATATAGAACCAAAGTTGTTGAACTTGATTGACATTTCATCAGTGAGAAGGTGAGAAGTGAAGTAGTGAAATTGGAATATGTCAACACTAAACAAAACAGATCACACACATCCTCACCAAAAACTACCAAGTCCGATCATTGATCATATCCAAGTTGGGACTATGTGACATATACTCTCGAGTTTGAGGGGGAGTGTTGAATGCGGGCAGTTAGGAGAAAATATATAGAATAAAAGCGAAGGGTGTGTATTGATTTTTTTATTTCTCAAGTACTTTAGGAATACATAGTATGTATTATTTAGGAATAGAATGCTATTAATCTGCATATCTGTTTTCTATCAAATAAAGCCATAGAAGAATCGCTTTAATTGTTCAAATAGTGGGACTGAAAAGCAGTTCTTACTTAAGTATCAACTTGTGTTCATATGATCCATTGCAGGCGCAGGATTATGTACTACCACATGGAGATTTTCAAGAAGGTTGATGTCATAGTTACTCCAACAACTGGGTACGTTCCATTGTAGTAAATAGATTGGTCTTGGTTCTTCCATAATTTCATACTGTTGTCATTTAATCTATATGGTTGATTTCAGTAATCTAAGCATGATATATTTAATTGTTTATAGAACAACACTTCTTCGTACTCATGGGGTTTTGATAACTTGAGATTTTGCATCTGATGTTTGTTTTTCTTCTTTTTAGCATGACAGCTCCTGTAATTCCCAAAAGTGCACTTAAATTGGGCGAGTCAAATATGAAGGTTACAAGTGAGTTAACTAGCAAAAATGTCATTATGTGAAATTCAGTTTGTAACTGATTGACGCAATTATCTATTTTCTGCAAATGTCATTGATGTGTGTTGATACATAAATTTTTTTGCAAAGTGAAAATTGCAATTTTATGTGGTTCAGACATGTCCCATTTCTTAAGTTCTTATTTGGTCTTTTAAACTTTTAGTCCCACCGGGACATTGATTGTGTTCGATTCTCTTTCCCTTGTATCATCATTGCTTACTAGTTCAACTCTATTTTCCTCTAATTTATCTTGAGGGTACTGCTCGTCATTCATGCAATCTGAAACTTTTTATCATGTCTTTCAGGCAATCTGATGCGTTTTGTCTTAGCTGGCAATCTTCTTGGGCTCCCAGCTATTTCTATACCTGTAAGTACTGTTTAATTTGCATTAGTAATAACCAGAAAACTATTTGATCTTATTTGCAGTAACAACATTTTCAATGAGAATTCACACCCATAAGCTAGATCAACAATTACTGGAAATTTTCATATTTTGCTGTACTGTGTGGGTGTGTTCTCTTTTTTTCTTTTTCTTTTTTTGGGGG